CAACCGAAGAGTCGGAGCTGCGAAATTGAGTCCGGTAATGGCGTATCTCTTCCGTTTGCTTCGTTAAGTGAAACTGATTGTCCCACGCGTCTACGTAAATCGTTCCGGACTTAATTTTTTCACGGTATTGAAGTAGCGAGATACAGGACGATCGAAATACACTGTTTTCTCTGATAAACCGTAACGCAAAGTCACAGAGTAATAACGTTCATCACCTCTTATAAAAGAGGTAACTAAACTAACTAACTAACTAGATGGCTTACCGAACCCGAAGGGTCATCACCGAACTAACCAAAGCCATCCACCGGACCCTGTCCTGGGCCAACAAAATCCAGTCTCCTTCAACTCCTATCTCCCATAGATCCCGCCTGAGATTATCCTCCCATCTACGTCTAGGTCTCCCCAGCGGTCTCTTCCCTTCAGGTTTCCCAACCAGTACCCGGTGCACACCTCTTGTCCCATCCATGCGCGCTACATGCCCAGCCCATCTCATTCTTCTCGACTTAATCACCCTCACAATACTGGGGGAGCAGTACAGATTTTTAAGCTCGTCATTGTGCAGTTTTCTCGACGCCCCATCGTCTTCCCTCTTAGGCCCAAATATCCTCCTCAACACCCGATTCTCAAACACCTGCAATCTGTGTTCCTGCCTCTGAGTGAGTGACCATGTTTCGCACCCATACAAAACAACAGGATAAAAGAGGTAACAAGATTTTATTGTTTTCATGGAGATGTGCTTGATTCCCATCGAGGGAGGGACTTTGTAGTGCTTAGTGGTGAGTTATGCAGTTTATGCTGAGATCCCAGTAAACACAACATTTTTCATTAAAACAATGAATTCTAAGCAGAAATCAAAAAGCCTTTCTCCCCCGAAGCAAATATTATATCTGACAAGCAATTTCAGTCATTAAGTTATTCAAAAATTCACCACCTTTTAACCACGAAAAACATCAATCACTGATAAGATGGTAAAGTTGCGTCATATTGTGATATAATAAGTATATATTAAATCTTGTCCATCTAATCACAATAAATTCTTATTAAATATTAAAATATTACAATAATTAACATTTGAAATATTTAAAATATTTTAAATGTTAATTATTGTAATCTTTTCAGTTCTGAAACATGTCGTGAAAAATGATGGTCTAATGTAAATCGAATATTCGATAAAGAACATCATTTAATACTTTAAATATTTTAAAATGTTTATTGTAATATTTTAATATTTAATAAGAATTATTGTGATTAGACGGACAAGATTTAATATATAATCAATCATGATATATCCGGTCTCCGAGCCATTTTTTTTTCAACCCAGGAACTATGAAATGTAGAACAATTTTGACAGTCACTCATCAGTGACGTTCGGTTCCTATTTGTTTAACAAGACCGAAGCATCACGCTACGGGATAAATGTTTTTGGAATGTCTTTATCTGTGCTCCCGTCTCGTGATACGAAGTCTGCCCACTGTGCCTGGCTGATGCTTTTACGATCTTTGCCAGTAACGACCAGCCATTAATGACTCCCCAGTCTGAAAACACATCATAAATTAATCAATTTGCTATTAATGCTGTTTCAATACGCATCTACTGACCTCCTGTTAACAGACAATCTTACAGAACAATGGCACCTGAAAAACAAAGCACTTAAGTCTAGCATCCAAGAATAAAAGTATTAGCCCCCACGAATTGAAAAGGCGTTGGACTTAAATCTATTTTGCACTGTAAAGCCGCTTATGGTAGCCTACCAACCGGTCCAGAAACTCAGAAATGGAAAAAGTTGGAAGAAACGTTTTTAAAATTACGAAAATAACATTATCATACAGTCTGCATTGAAATTATATATCACAGAGTAAAAAATATATAAATTCTAATAGTACCTCCCGATAACACCATTTCCCGCTATCCGATTTTCTCCTTACAAATCCTCTTATGACGTAAATGGTTTTAGTAAATAAGGTTCACATGGTGTAGAGTCTACACTGTAGACTATGGTCTCAGTTTTACGAGTGTTTTCATTGGCTGAAATCAAATAAACCAAAGCAAACCGCGGACAGAAGGACTGAAATGTGATTACATGGAAACTAATTCCAGTCTCCACAGCAAAATTTCTGAGGTGGTCAACTCAGCGACTTGTCGTTTGATTCATTTTGTAAAGTATCCAGTTGATGAAATTCCAACATGTGGACCACCCACACTGAATAAATTACCCAGCTTATTAAAGGGAGAGAAATGATCGGAACAGATACGGTTTCCTTCCGGATTCCTACAGGCTCACGTGACTGTAACTAATTCACGAAGATTAAAAGACGTACATTTATGTAATGTTGGAGTGAAATTGAGAAGTTTCATAAATATTCACACGATTTAATAAAAATAAGTTGACAAATTTCAGTTACCATAACAAACCAACACAATTTTTAAAAGAATGCATTTATAGAAAGACACATTATTAGAACTATTCTGGAAAATACTGATTTTAAGTCTACTTTACCAGCAAAGATACCAATTATTTATGGTAACATGTACACGTCTCAGTTTGTCTGACCCCCTTAATAATGTGTTAACTAATGAACAGACTTTAATGAAATTTCGAAATAATATCATTCCATCTAAAATCAAGCTATTTTTTAGTCCTTTAATTTCCTAATCTAATTATACCAACATGGCGGCCCTCGAACAGCTCCAGTCAAGCCAGCAACATTTTGTGTGGTAACAGAACTGATAACAGCAAAATAGGATGTTGAGATTTGAGGTTCTCAAGGCGGTAAATATGACTATGTTCTTCTTTTGGATTGTGAGACAGTATGGATTCTTCTGAACTGAAGATGGAGACAGCATGGTCCTCCGAAACGCTGATATGTACTTACGAGTCAACATGGTTTCAAAATTCAGGACAACAACACTGTTAACTTTCGAGTTAGTGAAAAAACAAACAAAATGGCGACAGGGCGAAATTTGCATTTATCTTCATGCATGGCGAGATAATGGTCCATAAATTCCGTATGCAGATAGATTATAAACACATTTACAAATTACAAATAGGGGCTGAGCGAGATTTCTCCTTACAAATCCTCTTATGACGTAAATGGTTTTAGTAAATAAGGTTCACATGGTGTAGAGTCTACACTGTAGACTATGGTCTCAGTTTTACGAGTGTTTTCATTGGCTGAAATCAAATAAACCAAAGCAAACCGCGGACAGAAGGACTGAAATGTGATTACATGGAAACTAATTCCAGTCTCCACAGCAAAATTTCTGAGGTGGTCAACTCAGCGACTTGTCGTTTGATTCATTTTGTAAAGTATCCAGTTGATGAAATTCCAACATGTGGACCACCCACACTGAATAAATTACCCAGCTTATTAAAGGGAGAGAAATGATCGGAACAGATACGGTTTCCTTCCGGATTCCTACAGGCTCACGTGACTGTAACTAATTCACGAAGATTAAAAGACGTACATTTATGTAATGTTGGAGTGAAATTGAGAAGTTTCATAAATATTCACACGATTTAATAAAAATAAGTTGACAAATTTCAGTTACCATAACAAACCAACACAATTTTTAAAAGAATGCATTTATAGAAAGACACATTATTAGAACTATTCTGGAAAATACTGATTTTAAGTCTACTTTACCAGCAAAGATACCAATTATTTATGGTAACATGTACACGTCTCAGTTTGTCTGACCCCCTTAATAATGTGTTAACTAATGAACAGACTTTAATGAAATTTCGAAATAATATCATTCCATCTAAAATCAAGCTATTTTTTAGTCCTTTAATTTCCTAATCTAATTATACCAACATGGCGGCCCTCGAACAGCTCCAGTCAAGCCAGCAACATTTTGTGTGGTAACAGAACTGATAACAGCAAAATAGGATGTTGAGATTTGAGGTTCTCAAGGCGGTAAATATGACTATGTTCTTCTTTTGGATTGTGAGACAGTATGGATTCTTCTGAACTGAAGATGGAGACAGCATGGTCCTCCGAAACGCTGATATGTACTTACGAGTCAACATGGTTTCAAAATTCAGGACAACAACACTGTTAACTTTCGAGTTAGTGAAAAAACAAACAAAATGGCGACAGGGCGAAATTTGCATTTATCTTCATGCATGGCGAGATAATGGTCCATAAATTCCGTATGCAGATAGATTATAAACACATTTACAAATTACAAATAGGGGCTGAGCGAGATTTTGTAGTTATGTATAGGAAATTGTACGTGGGCGGAAAATATGTATATAAATGTACAATTCAGCCGTAGAAACACTAATTTATAGTTCCTGGTTTTTGTCATGT